GACGAATTACTGTAACCGAACACACCTATGGATGAATAGCTTACACCCAGTGTATTGATAACAGCCATATAGCACGTAGTAAACAATTGTTGTACATCGTGACTGTAGCTAGTGCAAATATTGCTGTACCGTCCCCTCCAAGCCTTTGTTGCCCAGACACTGTGGCAAAGGTATTGTTGTTATTAGTGTATAGTGGAGTAGTATGATATGGAGTATATGGGGGTAGGTATGTTATTAGTGTATATTGGAGTAGTATGATATGGAGTATATGGGGGTAGGTATGTTATTAGTGTATATTGGGATAGGTATGATATGGAGTATATGGGGGTAGGTATGTTATTAGTGTATATTGGGATAGGCATGATATGGAGTATATGGGGGTAGGTATGTTATTATTGTATATTGGGATAGGTATGATATTGAGTATATGGGGGTAGGTATGTTATTAGTGTATAATTGAGTATATATGATATGAGTATATGGGGGTAGGTCTGTCATTAGTGTATATGGGGGTAGGTGTTTTATTAGTGTATGTTGGAGTATGTATGAAATTGAGTATATGGGGTAGGTTTGTTATTAGTGTATATTGGGTAGGTATGATATGGAGTATATGGGGATAGGTATGATATGGAGTATATGGGGGTAGGTATGTTATTAGTGTATATTGGGATAGGTATGATATGGAGTATATGGGGGTAGGTTTGTTATTAGTGTATATTGGGATAGGTATGATATTGAATATATGGGGGAAGGTATGTTATTAGTGTATATTGGGATAGGTATGATATTGAATATATGGGGGTAGGTATGTTATTAGTGTATATTAAAGTAGTTATGTTATTAGTGTATAGGGGCGGTAGGGTAGCCTAGTGGTTAAAGTGTTTATCATGCCGAAGACCCGGGTTCGATCCCCACATGGGTACAATGTGTGAAGCCCATTTCTGGTGTCCCCCGCCGTGATATTGCTGGAATATTGTTAATAGCGGCATAAAACTAAACTCACTCACTAACTATTAGTCTATATGTTTTTTATGCCATCATAGGGTCATTTTAAGAGTAGAAAATATCTGTGTATAGTTTTTCATTCTAGAAATACTAGTATAAGCTATACATGGAAATGCCCCATAAGTCCTTTCAAATTGAAGATGATTCTTGTTGAATGCAGAAGGGATTTGCTTAAAAGTGGATACTTCATTTTCAAAACAATTTTAGAGTGTTGACCATGACAAAAATCAGCAGTGACCATTCACACCTTCTTGTAATGACCGCAAAGTTTAAAGAATGTTCCACAGTGTCCTCTCCATGCTTTGTTAGACCACTGACAGGCAGGGAGAGGGAAGCCCCAGTTAACATGGCCGCAAATCTAGTTAGACCGTGAGTCATCCACAGACTTATTAACTCGCACCTCAGCCCAAAATCATTTCCTGAACTCGAAACACTGATTGGAACAGTTTTTTCTTGGTGAAAGAAGGTTAATTTAACCCTCTCCAGACGGTGTCCTTTGTTTTAACCCCGAAGCTGTTTCAGATTAGCAAGTCTTAATTTGGATTATTTGTTGAAATATTTTGATTATTATAAAATAATGGATCTTGTTTCTTTGTCCTTCAACATCTTTGGTTTTCTTGCTAGGAATTGGTGTGTTGTCAAGATAGTGCAGCAATTAATATGGTCAATATAACATGGCAACGGAATATTTCAGATTTGGACTCATTTTGTCTTGATTGTTTGCGTGCAAACAAGATTAGTGTCAGCAAGTTTTTGTGAAATGTATATTAATGGTAGTGATGTCTTTTATCAATTGTGACTTGGAAGTGAGTTTAATGTAAAAAAATCTAAATAAAGATGAAAATGATGTAACTTGATGATGGGCAAACAGGATAATTTAACGCATTGCTCTGTATATTAGAGTAGAGTTATTAGCTACGCTTCCTGGACTAAACACAATGTTACTAGACTCTGTCTGAGGACCAGTGGCTGCAGATTAACACTGTATATATATGATGACAAGAAACAATGTAGCCATAGATTTAGTTAACTCTTCGTTAAACAACCACGATGTGTGTTGATGCATGAACAGAACCTCTCAATATTACTGGACACTCTCAGGAGATATATCCTGAATCCCAACTCCGTCCCATCGAATGACATATGGTAAATGCCAGGCCTCCCTTCCCTCTCCTACAACAACCTATTGTTATTCAGGTCAACTACAACCTTTATTATGTCCGGCAACCCATCCTCTTGAGCTAGCCCTGGCGACAGTGGGTATTGTTTTAGTCTGTGGCGAGACCCCTCTGCAGCTCCGATGCACACGAGGACCCACATGCAGGGGCTGACAAGTAGGAGATTGTGTTAGTACTCGACTAGTCATTATTGGATTTCTTGCCTTGACTCATCGATAGAAATGAACTGGGTAAATTCATTTGGGAATTTTGACCATTAGGAAAGATAGCCAGTGGTAATCTTCTTAGAGAAGCTGGTGGGTGCTGTGGAGTTTACTGCTGTGCCTCGCAGCTTGGGGGACTCGTACGAACGTATCTCTAAAATTGATAGACATTTTCGACAGAAGAGAAAAAATTATTAGATTAAAGAAGTATTAATCAGGTTGCCTTACTGCGGGGATGAAGTGTTTAGGAGATGTTGAAGTTTAGCTTTTTTCCTGGTGTTGTGCTTCGGGGAAGAATAGGGTGATTTAGTGATCTACTTCAGAATGAGTTACTCAGAATTTCAAGTATCTTGAAAAAGATGTGGTAGCCGTGAAAATGCTAAACACAATACAGTTCCATTAGAAGATGCCACTGTGATGGGGTGTGACGTACATGTCTGTCAGTGGGGACACTGTGACTTGTTCATAGGGTTGTGTCGGGGGTCTGTGACTTGGTCATAGGGATGTGTCGGGGGGTCTGTGATTTGTTCATAGGGATGTGTCAGGGGTCTGTGACGTGTTCATAGGAACATGTCAGGGGTCTGTGACTTGTTCATAGGGACGTGTCAGGGGTCTGTGACTTGTTCATAGGGACGCATCAGGGGTCTGTGACTTGTTCATAGGGACGCGTCAGGGGTCTGTGACTTGTTCATAGGGACGTGTCAGGGGTCTGGGACTTGTTCATAGGGACGTGTCAGGGGTCTGTGACGTGTTCATAGGGACGTGTCAGGGGTCTGGGACTTGTTCATAGGGACGTGTCAGGGGTCTGGGACTTGTTCATAGGGACGTGTCAGGGGTCTGTGACTTGTTCATAGGGACGTGTCAGGGGTCTGTGACTTGTTCATAGGGACGCCTCAGGGATCTGTGACTTGTTCATAGCGCTGTCAGGGTCTGTGACTTGTTCATAGCGACGCGTCAGGGGTCTGTGATTGTGACGTGAGAGTCCATTAGTAGGGTCTGTGACTTAAGGGGGCTTTTAAGGATTCGTCTGGTGGGACTTTTCCCTCAGTGAGACTTTAACTGACCTCTCTGGGAGGACGTTGAAGGTCATAGAGTCATATATGAAATGACAGAACCCAGGAGATATATGTGAAATAATCTGCTGCAAACTGACCTTGGTGCCAGTCACACACTGCGCACATCCACTCAAAGCTGATGGTTTCTCCTACACTGGTGCGGGCTGTGGGGTAGCCTAATGGTTAAAGCGTTGGCTCGTCACCCCGGAGACCCGGGTTCGAATCCCCACATGGGCACAATGTGTGAAGCCCATTTCTGGTGTCCCCCGCCGTGATGTTGCTGGAATATTGCTAAAAGCAGCGTAAAACCAAACTCAGTCAGTCAGTCCTACACTGGTGCCAAGGTATGTTTTCTTGACCATTCTGCAGTGTTTGTACATAAGTCTGGGCTCATTCCTCATTATATGTGGGGGAGCTAGACCAAACCCACACATCAGAAGTGTCTCCCACATGCTTCCATTATGTCATTGACAACAAAGATAGCTCACACCCCATCCTGGAAGTTACTCAACAACAAAAAGGACTTGCTTGTAATCTTGTCCAGCTTGTTGAGTTGATTCACACTTGCTGTGTTATGTAAGGCATTGTTTGGGCTGGAAGGTGTGAAGTGCTTACACTGCAGGTTCCATGTGCTGCTGGTGTGGGTCAATCAGGGGTTACCCACTGTCAATGGAGTCACTATGGACTTGTGGATAAAACCGTTATGTCATCGTGAATGGAGGTTACTTACTGTGGAGATCAGAGTTCTGGTAAAATGTTTGATGTCCTGATTGTTTACAAGCTGTTAATGTGGTAGAGACCTTTTGATGAACAAGCAGCACCTCTGCCGAAACACTGAACCACCCAACAAGACACTTAACCAAAAAATTACCAATAACCACCCAACAACCTACTCACCCAGCAGAACACCCACCGACAGGAGAGCTGCCAGCCCAGAAACAACTGATACACCAACAACACAACCACCCATTCATTATCCAATCCATTGACCCTCCAGTCCATTCATTATCCAATCCATCCACCCTCCAGTCCATTCATTATCCAATCCATCCACCCTCCAGTCCATTCATTATCCAATCCATCCACCCTCCAGCCTCCAGTTCATTATCCAATCCACCCTCCCTCCAGTCCATCCATCCAGGGCGGTGGGGTAGTCTAGTGGTTAAAACGTTGGCTCGTCACGCCGAAGACCCGGGTTCGAATCCCCACATGGGTACAATGAGTGAAGCCCATTTCTGGTGTCCCCCGCCGTGATATTGCTGGAATATTGCTAAAAGCGGCGTAAAACCAAACTCAGTCAGTCAGTCAGTCCATCCATCCACCCTCCAGTTCATCCACCATCTTTCCAGTCCATCCATCCACCCTCCAGTCCATTCATTATCCAATCCATCCACCCTCCCTCCAGTCCATCCACCCTCCCATCCACCCACCCTTCCACCCACCCATCCACCCACACTCCTGTCCATCCATCCTCCCTCCAGTCCATCCAACAACAGTAAAAGCCATCTTCCATAAGAATCCCTGTGTTGTGTAACATATTTCATTTGTTGTTGTTTCAGATGCCATGAAGATGCTGGCCGGGCGTCTTGAAGGGCCGTTCAACATTGAGTCTGTGGTGGATCCTATCGATGTCAAAATATCCGACGCCATCATGAACCTGCAAGAGAACGGCCAACAAGTTTCTGCCAAGGTACGTAGAAAGAATCTTTGTTTGCTGATAACATGCTCCCGCTGTAATGGGCATTCAGAGCCACAGTGGCTCTGAGAAGGAATGAACAGCCTCCAGAATCCACCAGGACAACCAAGTTGTGCTGAGGACAAATATATATCTCATGATGGTCTTCCTCATAGACTATAGTCCGTTTGACTTCATTTGAGACCGATGAATTCCTCACTAACACAAAATCTGTCCATTATACCAAAGACGTTAACAGATGGTGCTTCTTGTCACCCTGCAGATACTTGGACCATACTCCTACAGATATTTGGGCACGCTTGGTCAGAATCATAATCCCCACGATGTAATACAGGGGTTGAAATAACTTTAAAATTGATAGTGTACTCCGGTACAGTGGCACATGTGAAATCACTTGCCCTGATAATTTTTCAAATATACCGACCGTTTTCTTGTTGGATATTTTAAATAAACAACATAATTAACATTGGAAAGTCAAGTGGACGCCGGTACAGTGTGATATACGAATTTGCAATGGGTTATTTCCATCCCTGTATATTCACTTTGTATGAAACTCACTGCAGCAAGAGACTCCAAAGTACAAGATATATTGTGCATCTCTCAATATATTTCACTGGTAATACAATATTCATTATATACTACTCACACTTTGATAAGGGTCACAAAATTTCACAACTTTACTTAAACGTAGATTTATAATTTGAAATTGTATCCATTTAAAACTGGATAAATAATGATATGGTAACCCCTGTTTAGACAAACAGCCACTTTAATCTAACCTGATGCACTTGATACATGAGTAACCATTAGAATGGTTTTCATGGCACCAATCAACCATTTTGCAAATCATGGAACGAGTCATTGACAAATAAACAACACCTGTCAATAGCAGGTATGGGATCCACAACATGCAATGACATACTGAAGCCTAGGATCCATGCTAACAATAAGCTTAGATATTTAAACCAAATTTGACCCCACATCATAGTTTTCTGTTGAATCCATAATTTGATCCTTAGCAAAGTGTGAATAGTATATAAAAGCCACCTCAGTAATGCTGTGTGAGTATCGGTGAGTAATGTGATGAAGACCCTTGACCTGTCGCAGCCTCCCCTGCTTGGGTAGTAGAATTGTAACTGTAACATTTGCCAGTTGGAGTTTTCACTAAAAACAAAGTTACAACCAATCAATAGTGATCATTGTGCAGTCACTACAACCTGGGTCCCGTTCCTCAAAACGATCATAGCGCTACGATGATCGTAACTCCCATACTTTAACATAGACTTACGACTGTCGTAGCGCTACGATCGCTTTGAGGAACGAGGCCCTAGACCCATGAGGATGTTTCATAACAGAAGAAATAACAAATTCCCACAATGCAGTTTTCCAAACCGTATTCCAGCCAAATTCTTCAGTTGTTTTCACTGTTACTGTGTGGAGGACTTGGTCCCAAGTTGATGATGCTGGCCAGGAAGGGGATTGTGATGTGGTGCGTAGGAAACTGGGTTAAAGCTGCTGGTGGCATCCCCCCTAGTCAAGGGCCATGACTGATGAATATCGGAATTAAATTCAAACCAAATCATACTGTTATATTTCACATGAGACTTACAATTAAATAAAAACAAAGAGATATATTTGTTGTAAGATATTTCATAGGGTATGAAAAAACAGTCACTATAGGACACCTAAGTTCTTGCTCACTGCCAGAATGGTGGGACCAGGTCTTGTATTACAAATTCAGGGGTGGAAATAACTTTAAAATTGCTAGTGTACTCTGGTACAGTGGCACATGTAAAATCACTTGCCCTCATAATTTGTCCACTACACCTGCCGTTTTCTGGTTGATTTTTTAAATAAACAACATAATTAATCTTGGAAAGTCAACTGGACACCAGTACAGTGTGATATACAAATTTGCTTGCCCGAAAGAAAAAAACACTTGACTCTGACGTCGGGCAATGGGTTATTTCCACCCCTGAAAGTTGCTGTCACTAAGTACCCAAAGGATGTGTGGCAATACATTTTGAACAGAAAGCACTACTGAATTCTGTAATTTCAGTACAGTATGAGTGCTGGTTCAGACAAAGAAGAAATCCATTGAACGATAATGAAACCTTGAAGTATGGTGGAACAGTAAGCCTGTCTTCACCTCTTTGTTTGAGGATGATAGCGACAGTCACAACATCATCATCTTCTAAATCCCTCCGAGAAAAAAGGAGCAAAACAGAACAAGGAGAAAAGGGGGATCCAGCGATGGCAAACACAGGGTGGGCGCTGGTGTCAGGCTGTGGGAGCCCTATTGTGCTAGGGGGCTTTGTGGAGGTTGCAAGGGGCTCAGATTTAGTGGCCACTCGTAACATGGCAAACACGGGATTTGACTTGGCTTGTCTTGTATAAAGATGTAATCAGAAATCACCGACTCAACTTGCTCCGACATGGCCCGATTTGTGTCAGAGCTTACCTCATGAAAATGGTGGCCAGATTTAAAAGAAATCTGTTTGTTTAGACTGGTGGTCATCAACGCAGATTGTGCCTGGAATATGTCATCGGGGAGTTCAGTATCATAATTACACATTATATGTTGTCAAGTTTATTTCTTCCTATACTTGGATATCTCAAGAGAACATCCACTTTAAAATGTCTGACTTATTTCTTCAGTTGAATATAGTGTGAAAAAAATATATACACATCATACTCAAGCAAAATTTGTCTCATGATCCATTTAATTTTACATCCCCGTCCACACAGCACTAGCTTAATCTATTGAATACTTTACTGTGACACATATTAGCAGATTAATAAATTATGTCACCATATATTGCCATACAATTGTATTGTCATGTGCTAACTGCTGTCCTGACTGCTAATCCAGCTGGGTAAGAGAAGAGTTCCCACCAGAATTAATTCTTTCAGCTTACCCAGATTAATGTTTTTTGGTGAAAAAGTTGCATAAAAACTGACTGCTGATATTTAACACGTAATTTTCCATGCAGGTGATAGAATGCGGTACTTCCTGCAGGCTGATAAAAATGGCAGTCTACATTCCAACTGAAGGGTGTTACTTCTACACAAATGTCAGAAACAGTTGTCTGCAACTAGTACACTTTGATATATGGGAAGTGATAATTGTAGTAATTGCTTCCAGCAGAGATAATTAGAGTTTTTGTCACAAATTTCATGTTGTTATGTGAAGATTAATGTAAAAACAGTCCCTAACTGGTTGTATTTAAAGGGTAAACAAATGAAATATTTGTGGAATACATAGCATAAGAGGAGTCACTGTGACCTAGTGACCTTCTAAAGATTGTGCCAAGTCACACATTCATTGCAGCGTGTATAATCAGCCGTTAGTTTGCATTAACAAATCTCTTATTTCCATTTTTAAACACCATCTTTGTATATACAAGCGAGCTTATGTCCTTGACTAAAGAAAAATACCAGTTTATGCACTTTTAAAAAAGTTATAATTTTTTAAAATTTTATTTAGCGTTTATGTGTATGCATATATCTGAATACAGCATTTTAGCTTTCGTTCTCATAGATTGATTTAAGTGTAATTACCCCACAGGTATAGAAAAAACAAACTGTTTGATTTGTAGGTTTGTTTTTAACACTGCTTGATTTGAAGGCAGTCTGTTTATAATCTGGTTTGGACCAGACAGTCCATTGATTGATAACATGAGTGAGTAAGTTGAATTTAAATGCTGCTTTGGACAGAATTTCAGTTTTATGAGAGCAGATCAGCTTAGGATGAAAGCCTGCTCTCTCGACGACATGAGCATGGATCTGTGTATTTGGGACACTCACTCACTCACCAATCTAGTCACCAAGTCTGACCCCCTGACCTCTGGCTACTTACCTGTATTGACAAGTATGGACTACCCATAAACAATTCTAACTCAGATCTTCCCTGGGGATGAGAAATCTGGTTTGGGTTTCAAGGGTCTATCCTCCATTAAAGTTCCATGCTAAGACACTATATGTTGGTTGCAACAAACTTGTTAGAGCAGCTAGTTGGGGTAGCCTAGTGGTTAAAGCGTTTGCTCATCACAGAGTGGGTCAGGTTCGGGTCCAATGTCTGTACTATCAGTGGTCCTCAACCATGATAGGGCTGGAATAATGCTAAAAGTCAGCATAAAACACAACTCACTCACTCACTAGTGCATGCTCAAGGTGCTGGTATTTTTCCCTCGATCATTGGATGTCAATCTCAACGGCACATCGTATTATCAATCACAACTCCCTAGGGAGTATACACTTACTTGTGCAATCATGAAGTGCTGGTTTGGCATGTAAACAAAGAGATGATAAGTTTCTTAAAATCAAACTTGGTGGATTGTCAATTATTCTTCAGCCAATACTTCATAAGGAAGATAATATTTTATGTTGACGAAGTTAGATGGGATGTTGTAAAAGATTGGGTGACTATTGAAGAACGTTTTAGTTTCATCAAAATCTGTACATGTATGTATGTTCAAGTCCTGTGGTAATCTCAGATATCATAAAATGAATTTTATTCCTCCAAGGTTTCTAAGATGACCAAGTCTAATTTGTGTGAAAACCTCATGGAAATGTTCAGTCTTTACAAGTATTGATAATCAGTAAAACTGCCAGAAGTTGTTTTTCTGTGTCAGGCAGGTTTCACAGTTGCTCGGCATGCACTACGCTAACGTACAATCCTCGGTTCAATTCCCCAGTGCTTGTTCTCTCTGTGCCTCGTATTAACTTGTGAAAAAATTCAGACCTCTCTTTAAAGAATAAGGTCAAGTAAACAACAAATGTACATACATTCTTCAGCCCAGCAAGCACTCCCAAAAAACACAACATTTCTGTTGTGAATGCATGGTCTTGTAGACCTTCGAATCATTCATTAAGTGCAAATTGTATATAAGAGTGAGAGAGTAAGATAGACAACTTCTAAGTTTGACTTTTTTAGTGTATTAACACTGGTTAAACTAGAGGAAGTCGAGATGGGTCGGCCACCTTTCCTACCTCCAGCGTGAAGAGTTGGACAAACATGCTGGGTTTGTTTGTTCGGTAAACCTCCTGTCCCCAAGTGTTTCTGTTGCTATGCTTGACAGTCAATCGACATGGTGTAATAGTGAGGGGATGTTTTGAATCCACCTCATTATAAGGCAAATAGAAACTGTTTAATCAGCCTAACATATGACACATCTTTACTTAAGGATGACTCAGTAATGTTTCAAAGAAACGACGCCTTTTTACATCCCGTTAACTAGTCCGTCAATATTAACACATACCTGTCAACCAGAATCAATCTGTCAGTATGTGCAAATCAAAACACATATTCTGTACTTCATATTATTTGACGAGGAAATTTCAATACTCTGATAAATGGAGACATTTGTGATTTTCTTCATTTGTATGAACTGAATTTAACAGAAGAAACTGTTTATATGTCGGCCTTAGGAAAGATGTCTGAGGGGAGATTGAGGTCGGACCAGTCACAAGTCACACGATAGTTTCCACGATGTCGAGAATGTGTCTTCCGTAGTCACAACAAAGCAGTCAAGAATCTGAAAAATCTTCCCTGGTTCAAGGCTAGCTTGTTTGACAAACTAAACCTTACAGCTTTTTAGGGACTTTCTATTCCCTCTTGTTTTAATCAGGGGGCGGTGGGGTAGCCTAGTGGTTAAAGCGTTCGCTCGTCACGCCGAAGACCAGGGTTCAAATCCACACATGGGTACAATGTGTGAAGCCCATTTCTGGTGTCCTCCACCGTGATGTTGCTGGAATATTGCTAAAAGCGACGTAAAACCAAACTCAGTCAGTCAGTGTTTTAATCAGGTTCACAATAGATTCCTGATAGAATAATATGAAAAGTACACAACGGCATGAAACCTCTGAAGCACATGATACAGGATACATGTCCATATGCCTGGGTGTTAAACAAGCAGAATATGGTATATGCTAGTTATCTTACTGGATATTGGAACATTGAGGAAGAACATAAAGGTATAAATTGATGACAGATTTATTTCTTGTATTAAAGATTGATTCTATACCATAATGATGTTTGGTGGCTGTGCGTGTAATGATCAATTGAACATGCATGTTGAGTGTCCTCTCTTACGTTATATATATTTTGTAAAGGTGGCTAATGTTTATATCAACCTGGTGTGGTATAAAACTTGTATTACCCATTGGGGCAGTGGGGTAGCCTAGTGGTTAAAGCGTTAGCTCGTCATGCCGAAGACCCCGGGTTCGATTCCCCACATGGGCACATTGTGTTAAGCCCATTTCTGGTGTCCCCCGCCGTGATATTGCTGGAATATTGCTAAAAGCGGCGTCAAACTAAACTCAGTCAGTCAGTCAGTGTATTACCCATTAATCTGTTGTGTTGGTTGCAAGGGGCAAAATGTTAATTCGGTAACAGTAGGTCACTTGGGCTGGAGCCCGAATTTGTAACAGGGGTTTCTGAAATTAAAACATAATTAAAAAATATATATATTATATATACTCAGAAAAAAAATCCCCAAAAAACAGTAGGTCAATTATCACTGTACTGTGTCCGTTACCCTGTCATGTCGATGTGGTAGACTTGTGACACGTTGAGTAGTAGCTCACTGTCTAGACCAGGCCCTCTACTGCAGGTGAATGGTGAAACATTCCTAGTGGAACTATAGTAAACCTATACAAGCAATATGTTTTGTGTTGCAATTCCTTGTGATTATGTTTGTAAATATGTCGCGCCGGTGGGGTAGTCTAGTGGTTAAGGCATTCACTCATCACTCCGAAGACCCGGGTTTGATTCCCCACATGGGCACAATGTGTGAAGCCCATTTCTGGTGTCCCCCACGTATATTGCTAAAAGTGTGTAAAACTAAACCAACTCACTCACTGTATACATGTATTTGCATGGCTACACACTTGCTTAAAATGCATTCAAGATTAACTTTTAGCTCTAGCTTCAAATTAACACCTGTTTAATTTAGTTGTTTTCCATTTCCAGATATTTGCTGGTTGTGGTACCCCAAGACTTGGTCGCAGGAAACGTGAGGCACAGAACTACGAGTACACTTTTACCTTCAAACCCAATCGAGCAGCTGCACGGTCAACAACTGCAGCTGGCACCAGCCTTGATCGACTTGTACGAGATATTAAAGAACGTGTCAAAATGGCAAAGGATTTCTGGGTACAGCTTCCCTACACCGTCTGTAATGATGAAAACATCGCAGCTTCACCGATGAATGACAACGACTGCTGGAATGGACAAGACCGAGCAAAGTAAAACCCATATTTGAATTCTGAAAGCGTGCATAGGTAGTTTAGAAAAGGAAGAAAATAGAGTATTTTTTGTTAATCCCATGTTCACAAAGAATCATTAACATAAGAAATTTGGAAGTTATTCAACAGTGAACTGCAACATGTGGAAAAAAACAAAGAACAGTTTTAACCCCATAGTTCCCTTTTAAGATATTTCATAAAGAGACCCTGCTTTATGTGTGGCATTCCACCAGCCTGGCCATAGCACGGATGTTAGATAAACGTATTACTTCAGAAATGATGCTGGCAAAAAAAAGACATGCTATGTACATTTATACATCAGCAGCACCGAGTCTGTTATGGAGAGAAGCGTCCCAGCAGGCATGTGTTATGCTGTAGATATACCCCACATTGACGTGATATACAACGTGTATATCACATTTGTTGCTGTCACTCAACCTGTCATAAGTGGGAAGTACATGGTCTGATCTGTTGTCCAGGAGGCAGATAGCAGATTGATTCCTTCACAGATGGTGGCCGACCATGAAGAAGGGTGAAGCCCACTGTGGCAGTGTCAAGGTCATGTCCTACTGGTTGAGCTGGGCGTATTTTGCAGTCACTCTTTTGTTTATTAGACTTAGTCAGCTGCTAGAGACGATGTACATCAAAGTGTTTGAATCAAGGCCTTGTTATTGATTTATACTGAAGGAAATAAGTTAGGTATCAAGAATTTGGAGTGGGGGGAGATATTGTTCGTAGTGATGTCTGAACACAAAATTTGTTAAAAGATACCCTGAATAGTCAAGGGTCCCCAAGCTCTTTTGTTCAGTATTTGGGGACGTGGGGTAGTCTAGTGCTTAAAGTGTTTGCTCGTCACGCCGAAGACCAGGGTTTGATTCACAACATAGGTACAATGTGTGAAGCCCATTACTGGTGTCCCCTTCATGATATTTCTGGAATAAAAACTACACTCACTCACTCGTTCAGTATATATTGCAGCATTCCAATCCTCGTAGAATTTATTTGTGACTGCCGAGATTTACCTTCAACCGATTACTTCTGTTTAATTCTATTGTTGTTTGCATTGTTGTCGTTCTGAATACCATCGTGTAAAAAGACTGCAAGTAAGACTGGAGAGATTTTTTCAAAGAGTAACAAATGAGCCGATTTAAAAACAGAATCCCAAGGTTTCCCGTTTTGGAAAGTTTGCACAAGTGATGTCACCATCTTATGTCTCAAAAACAACAATTACAAACGTGGGCAGCTTCCGGAGGCTAGTTAAGCAAGAACACCAATGACAAATAGCTGTGTTGCACTCCAGTTTACTTTGAGTTAGCTGATTGGCATTTGTGCTGTAATCGACAGCCTGACAGCTGCTGGATTGCCTGTGTATCAACACACTCCAGGGTCAGTCTTGCCTCTTTCTTCAAGCAATGATTTTCTTTCCTTCAGTTTTGCCATGACTGTCAAATGTATGTGTAAGTCTGGTAGAGTTTGTACAAGACTAGTGTAACAGTCACTATAGGACACCTAAGTTCTTGCTATGTGCCAGAAAGGTTGGACCAGGTCTTGTATTACAAATCAGGGGTGGAAATAACTTTAAAATTGCTAGTGTACTCCGGTACAGTGGCACATGTAAAATCACTTGCCCTCATAATTTGTCCACTATACCGTCCGTTTTCTTGTTGAGTTTTTAAATAAACAACAAATTGGAAAGTCAACTGGACACTGGTACAGTGTGATATACAAATTTGCTTGCCCGACAGAAAAAAACACTAGACTCGGACGTCAGGCAATGGGTTATTTCCACCCCTGAAATTCAGTTTAAAAGTGTTGCCGATTGCTACGAGAAAAACTGTTCTGATTATGATTTCATGTATCCTGGACTGGCATCCGGCTGATACTGTTTAAAATCTGAAGTTACAGGACCCAGGAAGCTGTCGGAAATGAGAGGGGGATTAATTAGATTTCTGTGACCTGCTATCTTCCACAAAATAGCTTTAGTGAAAATATTACTATGAGCTGAATGCAGAAAGAATTAGTTACAAAACTTGTTAAACCAGTTATATTTTGAGACTACAAACATCCATGAATGTATGCCCCTTGGAAGGTCGTGTTTCAGTCCTCCGCGCACACAGCTAAATAAGTGCAAAAATGTTATGAAAACCATTACAAAAGTCTCACATGTGGATACTGGTATGTAACAGTGTTGCTTCGTTCTTCAGGTACATACCTAACGTCCAGAAGGATGGAGTGACCAATCAAATCAACAACCCAGAAGTGGAAGTGGACGTTACCAAGGCCAACACAGTTGTAACCAATCAAATCATTCAGCTCCAGATTATAACCAATCGTCTCAGAAGTGCATTCAATGGACTTGATGTTGATTGGATTGATACAGGTAACTTCATGACCGATATTGATACTGCTTTTCCATCATAGTGATATAGATTATATCACACAAGTGATATTGTGTGTATATCATGAGCCATGGGATCTTGGGTTACAACTGGTCCAACCTATGGTGGTTGGAAGAGATGACACAATGGGGCAGGTAGTGATTGGTCAGGCTTGTATGTTTCCATGACAGTGGACCCGTGAAGGTCCGGGTTAGAATATTGGCCGGGTGAGAATAGTAACCCATGCTTGTTGTAAGAGGAGACTAAAATGGGATCGGGTGATCAGGCTCGCTGACTTGGTTGACACATGTCAACGGTTCCCAATTGCGCAGATTGATGCTCATGCTGTTGATCACTGGATTGTCTGGTCCAGACTCGATTATTTACAGAATGCTGCCATATAGCTGGAATATTGCTGAGTGTGGCGTAAAACTAAACTCACTCACTCACTGCATGACAGTGTGTAATCTTATCACGGATTATGTTTACAATGTCAATCACAGGTTTGTCTGGTCCAGACTCAATGGTTTACGGACTGTCTTCATGCAGCTGGAATATTGCTGATTGAGGCATGAGACTAATCAGTGATCAACAGAATAAATCGAGACTGGAGAAATATCTGATTAAGAACTAGACAAGATTAATTGAAACAGTTCATTGTGAAAGAAATAAGAATGATGGTGTGTGTAGAATTGTTTGGTTTGGAAGCAATGGGACAGCAGTGTGTCAGTTTTTTTGGGTCGTGATTAAAGATGTCGAGAAGCACTGAAGCTACAGGGAGCAGATTTATCAAGTGAAATTCAAAAACATGTGTACATTGACTGACGCGAAACACAAAGTAGGACTAAGAACTAGCATGTGGGAAACATTGTACAAGACAGGATTATCCTCAGGCGGACCGGAAACATTGTACAAGACAGGATTATCCTCAGGCGGACCAGGAACAGTTTTAAAAAATAGGGACAAGAATGGGGAGAAATTTGGTTTCCATGGTAACACACATGATGCAAGCCTGAAAGACCGGTGGCACTTTCTGTACAGAATGAGAAAAAAATTGCTCTCCATCGATGCTGATTGATAAGGCTGTGGAAAGGGAGTGAATTCTTTTGACATTTTCAGCCACTGACATCGTGTTAGATGATGAGGAGGCAAATTACCTCTTTATGTCCGAGTTTTGCTCGATACGAGGCCGAACTTTATGACATTCCTGTGCCATCCATGCATCATTTATGACAAAAAGTGTTTATCACATACAGTATGCCATTTGTTTTATGGAAATAGGAAGCCGTAATTGAGAAATAAGATGCTGATTTACTGTATTTACTGGTAAACGGTAAATGATTTCACGTCATATTCCACCTCGGATTGCCAGGGACTGTTCAGGGACTACATCACTGTCTGCTGAAAAAATACCCTGACCGATAGCTCAGTCACCGGAAATAACTCTGTCTGACATTGTTTTATCAAACACCTGGTCAATATGTTTCCGACACCTGCACAGGTAATGCATCGCTTGACACAAGAATATTTGCAACAATGAATGTAATAAGCTGTATTCTTAGGCACAACAGGATAAACAATATTTTAAGGGCGTTAACAAGATTAAGATAAGCTGTAACTTAAACAGCAAGGGAGTTTTGGTCTTCAAATTGCTTTCTCTAAATATGTTTCAAAAAAACACTTCTAATGTTCATATTGCATTTGCAAGCACCCATCCATAGTCAAGGTAGATGAGTTGTACACTGCTTGAGTTGCTATGGTCTCTCAGTGGAGTCAGCTTGACCGAGATGCTCGCTGCTACGACAGAAAATCAGTGACATCACCTTCCTAGCATCCAATCTTTGTTATTGATTATTGAGGATGTGTTATAGAGGGACGTTAAATCCAATATCGCACATGATGCTATGAAATATATCACATGTATTATTTCATAGAAAGTAGAGGGATGAAAGTTTTTGTGGTGTGAGTGATTATCGATCAATTCTTAGGCGATATTGAATGTGTGACGGGCATGTGATAAATCCAATATCGCCTGGTGACTGCGTGTGTTATAGAGGGGGATGCTTCAGCAGGGATATTGATTGGTGAGCTGGGACAGGAAGACGAGGTGTCACGGAGGTGCTGCCACCTAGGGAACAAATTAAGTGACAGGAGTTTTATAGAACAAACATTTTCCATGAAGACAGGCTGCAGTACATGCTTCCAACATACATAGCAAAGAGAAAAGTCATTTTTGTAAAATAACCAAGCATATAGTGATAGAGGAAAATTTCAGTGTCTTGGATGACAACATTGAAAATAAGATACTTCACATCTAGGAAGTTTGAAAAGCTTGAACCCGACGCCCAATGACAAAAGTGCTTGGAAAGATAAACAACCTTAACTTGGGTTCAATCATTGTTTGTCAATCACTCAGTGTCTCTACGCAACACCAGCATGGACGTTATTAAATCTGAATTTCATGACCTCAAGTTTGTCCTTAATAATGTACTTGTTACAAACTGGATCTGTCTCCCAGAGCGGAGGCCTATTGTGCCGTGGTCCCACGTAAGCCTTACAGCTTCCTTGTTTCTTAGTGAGGGAATCACTGAAATGTTCTCTGCGCTAGGCACCAGTCAGTTGAGATATCAAATAATTTCCTCAGCTCAACAATCTCTATGATTAATTGCATCCTCTGAACTACTGATATCTTCAATTACAAATCAATGGTTTATCATGTGCTGTGTGGAAATGCCACTTTGAGTACGACAAGCACCTGCCATGCCTTCACAACCTGTTACCCCTCCGGGGATTACCATTACGCAGAGTTGCAATGAACAAAGATGAGTCCATTTGAGGTACAAGGGCAGCTACTCTGCCTGTGACACTGTACATTATCTCCATTGACAGCATTGATGAAATTAATTAAGGGAGAGGTCCCACCTCGTCCCTGGGTGAAGGTATTGATTCAGAAACCTGACAGTCGGACATTAGACGAATGTACACGGAAACTCGAGAGAAGATGGGGCCTCTTATGAGTAATAATTCCTCACCTATATTGAAATTAGGTTATTTGTGGAAATGTCAAGGTTTGACATCAGTACTTACGCCTTGAAGGGTGAAATAGTGAGAGGAAGACGTGACTATCGCACTTGTGAATTCTTGGATGGGTTTAGGAGATTGAAGTAACAAGCCATGTAATGTCCTCCATTACCCCCAATGATGTTCCAGGTCCGACAGTTATCGACATAATACTAGACTAGGGATAACAGACATAAATTGACTCTTACAGTGATGACACATATGCTAGATTCAAGTGTGTTTCAAGACTGTTAATCAGGTCTGGGAAAATGTGAGCAGGGCAGATGCTGTATCTCTGAATCATGCTGAATGCATCATTTAAAATAGTCTACATAATCTGATGTGGTGTAATAATGTAAGGCAGTGTCACACACATATTGAAAATAATCTGAAGTGACATCAATCAGAAAACTGCAACACAAACACATTCTTTTATCAGCCAATCAGGAAACAGATGTTTATGGGCATACCTTATTTTATTTCAGTAATGGAAACATAAATGGAAAATTAAGTGCTAATTTTGACCAATCATATGCCACAGAAACACTTGCAATTTGTTTATCGGCAAAAACATAGAGTATGACTAGAGCTTTCTGTACTCATTCCCACCTTTTTTTTCGGTAGATATCGACGGCATGAGCGGCAGTGGCAGCGGTGCTGGAGTTGACGATGAAGACACCAACGGCAGTGGTTCAGGAAACGGTTATATGCCACCTTCAATCGGAGACGACATTGACATCGATAGTATTCCAAAAACGAACGGTGGCAGGAGGAAAACAACGAAGAAACCGCCACCAAGTGGTAGCGGAGGGAAAACCAGGAAACCACAGAAGCCCCGCGACCCCACGACGAGGGACGAATCAGGCTCCGTGGTGCACGCCGCGTCAGTGTTTATGTTAGTCATGGCGGTGGGAGGACAGGCAGTGCTTCAATACTTGCGGTGCTGAGGAGGACTCTTTTGCAAATCCTGACAGAATTTTCGATTATTTTGGTTGTCAAAGAATCCACAACAAACGAAAGCAATACTGTCAACATTGTGCCTAAACTATTGTGTCTGGTGCTCTGTACGGGCGGGTGTGACGTACGGACATTTGTACGGATATCGGGCGTCAATCTGGACATTCTATGCTGGGTTGGAGGACGTGATAGCGAGGACCCCTTCTCATTCAAGTGCTAAGTGATTGAGTTGACTATAAGGGCTGAATTGCAAAGATCAAAAGGTGCGCCAAAAATGTACAAAATCTGGATAAATTTTAAACAACATTGTGCTGTGAATATTTTTCCAATTTTTTTCGAGTCCTAGATTGTCCATGTGTTATTATTCTAGATGACAGTGTATATGTGACGTTATAGGACTAGCCATTTATTATGCAAATGAGGCACAAACCAATAATGTGAGTGATGTTTGGGATTGCAACGAAGATGTTGTCGATTACGAGGAACGTGGTTGACCCAAGTCCACCACCGCAGCTGTCCATGATGGCATAGCCCTAGCGCGGAGGAAGACAGAGAATCGTGTACACACGATTCTGCCGTTTTCCTAACGACTTACTAAGACAATCATCTTCCTGGTTGTAACGTGTGTTAGTTTCCAACTGGTGTAATTACAAGGCAAGCTCTTCCAAGCAATCTGCTGACAAACAGCTTCAAGTGGAAATACCTTTCAAAAGGGAGGACAACGGAACAGCAAACTACCTCTGACTATTCTCAACTCATTAGTCCAGCTGAATTTTCTCAGTCAATGAAGATCAAAACGAAACCCATCTGAGCTTGCCTGGCGCACAGAACCAGTTAGACTTTGCCACAAGACCTCATGTTTTGAAAAGGGCATCTATGTTTCCATGGCAACCCGTATCCATGGTAAATGGGGATGGAGTTGCCGTATACCCCACCACACTTCTACTACAATGATGACTTACCTCAAAGGGGGTGGGGAGCATTTATGTAATGCCAAGACCATACTTTTATTTCATATATGTTTATTAGTTTTTTTAAATGGCTTTACATGTATGTTTTGTACGTCGAAGAAGATCACAAGGAATTCGGGTCAATTGCATTTTTATCCCTTTTAATTTTACAACCTGTTATGATAGTTCAAATCCTGAGGAATTAAACAGCATTAAATTGTCAATAGAATTAATTTTTTAATGCTAAGGTATATTTACCTTTTTATTGTTCAGTGTGTATAGCATGTGGACTACCTATGGTATTGAAGATCATGTGAGGGTGTCCGTGTGTAAGGGGGTGGGTGTATGGTAATAGACCCACGTGGCGTGTCACAATATATGTAACTCACAACAATCCATATTAACAAATGTCGCGGTGAAATGTATCTAAATATTCAAAGTCCATGCCAAAGAAAAGCCAGACTTGATTTTCACCTAAAACAGATTCCATTGGAAATAGAAGGCAAACTGGATGTAAAAGACCTTGATCACTGTGATTCAGTTATGAAACCTGGTGTTCATGGATACAGTAAGCATGTGCTCCCCATTGGTAGCACTAGCCATTCTCACAATTAGCATGAACAGATTTGTTTGGTACCTGATGAAATTTCTAAAGTCGGTTCCACAAGTGGTGGCACTCCAAGTCAGAAAATGGGATCAAAAGGATCTCCAAAACAAAGTTTAAAATGTGGTAATTTAGATTATAAACTTCTGCTTTCATAGTTTTGATTGGTAAAGGAAAGAAAAGACTTTTTGAATGGAGTTGAAAGTATTATGAATCGTGGCACCCCTGCAACCAACATATCTGTAGCATGGCGCCTTCACTGCAGGGTATTATGGTAATGGACGTATAAGGTGATTCTGTTTTAATTGGTCTATGGGTCTGCAAACCCCCAGGAAAAGATACTAATATGTAATCAGGAAATACTCTGAAATCCCGAGAGGTATATGTTTTATTTTTCTACTTTTGTGTTCACATTATGGACCTAAAAGTTATGCGAATCAAACACTGAACATATTTCTGAATTTGTTCTATGAGGAACATGAAATGAAATGGATTTTGCACGAAAACATCTTAATCCAATTTATAAAAACACATTAGGCTAACGTAAGGATAGAAGGTTTAAGAAAATTAAAAACTTGTGATTCAGGTAGCATGTCCCTGATGGTAAATTGCAGATAGGTTACAGACAGTTGTGTACAACTTCAGGTTAACGACAGTTTTGTACAACTTCAGGTTAACGACAGTTTTGTACAACTTCAGGTTAACGACAGTATTGTACAACTTCAGGTTAATGTTACAGGTGTAATACAACACTTCAGATTACAGGTGTAATTTCAAGCTGCAGGTGTAATCAGGCTGCAGGTGTAATACAGTGCTGCAGGTGTAATACAGCACTCCAGGCTGCAGGTGCTCTGACTGGAGGGTTGTGGTACCTGAACCACTAGTGTTCATGTTTGGCCTTCGATGACGAACTCCTAACCAGACCTTCATTGTGACTAGTTGGAAAGTATAAGTTGTTTGTTTGTAACATGTGATCATTAGCTACTTGATTGTGTATACAGATTGTCCGTAAAGCATGGTTTTGTAACGTGTAACACTATGCTAGAATGAAGTCGATAGATAGGCAAGACTTGCAACATGTTGATTAAAATTAGGCATGGGAACATGTCAAAAGTTCTTTTGTCATAAAATTGAACTAGGAACTGTGTCAAAGATGTATTTGTCATGAAATTATACAGCAAACGTTTTGTCATTTGCACACTTAAAAGGGCATTTTATGAGCCCTCAAAAACACATAATATGCGTACAGGACGATAAGTGCCTTCATCATTAACTAAGTCGGACAAGTTGAAGCGAATGTTGATAAATAGAAACAGGACATAAAGGTCAATAGCACTGTGAGCTTTGATAGCCAGTCTTGTTTTCGTTTGCGAAAAATACGATATGAACTTTTGATAGAGTCCCTGTGCAGTTTTACTCAACAGAATGATATGTTCGGCTTGGAAGAATCAACTCAGAGGTGGCCGCCCGCCCACTACTGGGAGTTGTTTCCTTACTGTATACTTACTATGAGACTATTTTGTACAAAGTCATTGTGTTGAGGAGATGCAGATCTAATCACTAGGTAATGTCCCCTTGTTTATGTATTCTGTGTCATGTTTATTTAAGTATTCTGATAGACAATGTTTCCACTGCTCTGAATGAAAGCACTGTACCTACGATAAATAGTAACCCTGTTTCAGAATGACAATTTCCAGAAATACACTTTAGTGGGAATTTTCCACTTTATGTAGTGATTGTTTGACATGTTGAAATATATTCTTTCAATGTTAAAAGTGTTTTGGAAAATGATATACAACATCAAAGGTTTTTGATAATGTTTATTTTTAGTCAAAAGTCTCTTAAGACAAATTTTATGCTGATTGATTTGTAGATGCCCAAAATCATCAAAATAATTTAATTGTATTATTTATATACTGTTTACAATATACAGGACTTATAAGGGGCGTTTAAAAGAATGTCCCCTCTCTAAGCAAGGGAGGTGAAAGGAATGGCTTGTTAGTCTGAATGTCATTGGCTGGTTTTATGGAAGGAAACCAGTCAGTTGTTGTTTATGAGTGACGCTTGTTTGTACAGTGGCTTTGTATATGGATATATCTACCAATAATGACAGTGTGCTACCAAACATAGACAATAGACCTTGTAGACAATCTAGATATTGTCTCAAGTTGATGTAAACTTGCAAAGAATTATTTCAAACATTGAAAGGGGTGTCTCTTAGTTTTACAAATGTCACTTTAATTTCTAATATTTAGCATATGTCATTGTAAGGCCCAGGTGAAGAGCTTGAGATAGATTTTTAATGTTATATTCCACCCCTTTTTGTTGTTCTGTATGTAAGTGACAGACATGAAACGTGTCCGTCATGTTTAGAACATGTGTATATTTCACACCACTGTAATGTTACTCTTTGTACACCAGAATTGCCAGATCATAAATCAAATAAAATTGTTCAGGGTAAATTTGCTATACGTGATGGCAACAAGTGTACAGAGGTGAAATGTTGGTCAGATTGTCATGATGTTACTTAGATCCTACTCCAAGTATTACTCTCACCATCTCTTGTCTCAGTCTAGATTGTCCTCGTTGTCTCTACCTTAAACTGCAGGGCTCCAGATAATTTTTCAACATCAGGAGTACGTACTCCTTATTTTTTTTAAAATAGGAGTACTGGAAAAACTTACGAGTACATTTTGAGTACTGAATGGAAGTAAATGGAGTATCGGTAATCTTGTGTTTTGTTGAACATATATGCACGACAATATTGCTACTCTTCTGTAAACAGGTACAAAAACAATAAAACAAAACTTTTTCAGATACATATGTCTGTAAATGATTCTTAGACCGTACACCATTGCTGTGGTGCGTATCTGCTATAAATTATTTCCTACCGTGCATATTTTTTATCCGTATATATGCCGATACGCCCTTATCTTGAGCCCTGTAACTGCCTTCTTGTATTCAACCATTTTGAAAATATGTTTGGATATATCTTTCATCAATGGATAACAAATTCTTTGTGTTTACTTTTGATGTTTTAAGCAGTGTTTATTTACTCTCATTTAACAAAAGATGTATGTCACTAAATAGGACCAGAAACTCAGAGTAGTGTCCCCTTTTTTCGAAACAATTTTGAATTTCAGTTTGATATTAACCCTTTTTTGTCTCCAGAAAGAAGAGATCTGTTAGTTTCTCCTGTTATCAAAAGCCTGCATAGGACAGCCACCTTATAACTTTACGGCTGTTTGCGAAGTTAAACGTGGATCCTGTTTCATTAAGGCTCTGGCTATCATCCTGACAACTTGCTATAGCATTAACCCTTTTTGTATTAAGACTATTGCTGTCCAAAGGGGCAGGTCTCCACATTGTCTTTATGCCATACTGTTGTTAGGAGACATGCTTTAGTCAGTCTAATTTTCTATCATAACAGCAGGACACCAATAGCCCACCATTCAAGTGCAGTCATGTATATGAACCATTTGGAATAAACAAATTATTTATGATTATACTTAAGTGTTTTGTACCTTCCGACTTGTTGGTGATCATAATGTCAATGTTTGTTTTTCACTTCTCCGTCTCAGTACACCAGGACCTCAACCTTGATGGGCAGAGAGCCATGTGTCAGCTTTGTCATTGTAACGTATTACTTGGCAATGTTCTGACAGACAGTATATGATACAGTCTGGATCACACAATCCAGTGATTGTCATCATCAACATCCATCTTCAAAACTGGATCCGCCCGGAGAGCGGAAGGTCGCGGGTTCGATCCCCGGCCGCGTCATACCAACAGACATTAAAATATGGTACTTGTTGGTCCCTGCCTGGCTCTCGGCATTAATGGGTACAACAAGGACTGGTTGGCTCGGAGTCAGTATAATGTGTCTGAGTGGGGTATTCATGCTTCACTGCGGCATGGTATCTCAGTGGGCTAACACTATAAAACCAGCTTCAGTCTCGGCTAGTACAAGCAGCCGCACATACACATACTCACGCATGCACCTGGTCATATGAGTGAAATATTCTCAAGCACCCAATATCTCCTCCCGTCACAATTGGAACATACATGATCAACCAAATCAGCACATCTGTTCTATTAATGACTACTAGTCACACACATGTTGGGGTACCTTAGCCCTTAAAGTGTTTGCTCACCACACAGAAGATCTGGGTTCAATTCCCAATCTGTGTGCGCTCACTCACTCACTCAGGCTGCTAAAGACACAGTTTGTAACGTTAAGAAAGACTGAAGGTAGTCTTGGCACTATGGTTGTTTTGTACAATGGCATCCTGCACTGTATGTTTTCAGTCTACCAAGAAATTGTAGAATGTTGGCACAAGTTATTTATTTATTCACCAAAACATGACTGTTTGCCCAATCAAATGCTTCAGCGTTACATGTCTATTAGGTAATGGTTCAAAATGTAGTGGAACCTAACTCACTCACTCACTCAACCTAGGTGGACAAAGGAAACAAAAAACATGAACTGTGCACCATGGTTCCAGTAACCAACTGTCTGTTCTTATTTTTTCTGCCAAGTAAAGAAAATGTGTGGTCCAGTTTGCCGTTCATCAACGCTCCGTTGTGAAGAGTTGTCTCCCATCAGTGTACCTGGATCTGATTAGTTTGAATCTCAGATATGAATTTGTTATGGCTTGGTCCACCTGCACCAAGCCATTGTGACCTACACTAAACACAGACCGCACATGATCGAGATTATGAGCTAGGATTTGCTGGGTTCAAATCCCGGACCTAAATTTCTTCTGCCTTGGTCTGTGTCACAAAATTCTATCACTTTCACAAACACAGGCCCTGGTTTGACTGCGATGTGCCAAGATCTGCTTGCCTTGGATCTCTTTCTGAGACCCTGGTCTGTCTGCAAGAAACACTGCACTCGTGAATGAACACCAACATTAAATCTTATGACTGAGATACTGGTTCATACGTCTGTTGCTGAATGGTATAAACACTTCTGGTGCAGTGGGGTAACTCCGTGCATTAAAACTTGGCTTGTAGCTTCGAAGCGGGTTCCATTCCCTAAATGCGTATTATCAATAGTCGTGAATGTGTGTCGCGAGTGAAAAACCACTCACTCACAATGGAAGTTGTAATGCTAAAGGAGTCTGTTCAGTGTGGCCATAAATCTGACTCGAGTGTGCTCAGACGTCTCTGTGTATCCTGTCTTTCCAACTCCGATGAATCTGAGATATTCATTACGTCCTGTTCCCGATAAGCTCCCCGATTTGGGCTTGGGCAGACTCAGGCTTAGTCTCTAAAAATATGTAATTTTGATAAAAATAAAAAACTCTATTTAAGTTGAAATGAAGGCCAAGCGAGATGGGAGATTCAGAATCTGTGGAAAATCTAGTCTTGCTTTATTTATGGCTGCAGCATTGCAGTCGGGGCTGGGCGGAAGGGGAAATATTATGGTTCAGGGAGTGAGACAAGGTCTGTGGATACACGTCAGATAGGTTACCAGTTCATGTGAGTCGGAGAACCTAAATTGGATAGCGCAAGTGATCGTGATAAAATTCAACGCTTGACACCTTTTACAAGATTACGAATATCTGGTAACCATTAATTGTGCATGTTCCCGCCAATCGCCTGTCAGTGTCACGGACGTAACTTATGTGCAGGGTCAAGGTCAGCCTAGCGCGTTTCTCTGCGACTTCCGGCGCTAAGGGAGACAGTGGTGAGAAGACAAAGCTGACTCTCACATGCTGCGTGTTGTCTGTGGCTCGACAACAAAACACGGAACACAACCACCACCATGGATTCCATCTTGATGTTTGCGGCAGCTACGTCATCCCCTAGGTCACGCGCTTCAGTCACTTCCCACCACGCGCAACCAATGACATGCACCTGCAAACCCCCATATTTATGAATTTAGACTCGCGCTACATAGTGTTTCATATTATGCTCAAGATTTTTACCGGTTACTTTACTTCTATTGTTCTAAATACCCCCTCCACCCCCTCTGTCCTAATCACGTACGTGTGCCCTGTCTGCCCATGGATCAAGTCTTCAGCCCATTAGTGGATGGAAGTTAGGTCACGACAAACACGGAACCAAACATTTCTTCTTAATCCGTCATTTTCTGTTGTAAGGAACATGAGAAATCTTATCTCAGCCCAGCCTTATCACATCAGAGGCACCACGATTGCGCCTAGCTCTTTCTACCTTTGTGCGGAATCCAATTGAAAAGGAGCAGACTCTGAGAGATCTATTGGTTGGAGCATCAAGCTTACAACACAAGAGGGTTCGAGCCCAGTTTCGACATATCACATCGTTTGATATTCCAAAGCTGCCATGGACACTAACAAATGGAGACATAACACAATGGTTGTACTATATAAACTTGTCTTGGAAACAAAAATATCTAGCTCGTAGATAAATTATGATACCCTGCAGGTTCTATAATTGGAAATAATCATGGAAACCAAAGTTAAAGGGAGATAACCCCTGTACAGTTCAAGTACACAGCTCCCGTTGTTTGAAAGTCAAGAGTCCTCGACAACGATCCAGATACACTTATAACATTGAACAGACGGATGTGTCACCCACCTGATAAATAGTTTATCTGTGGCCATCTTACCTACTTGTATTGTTACGTTTTATCATAGCTATTAGACAAGATCTGCAGGCCTCGGGTCGGCCATTACTTGTTGCAGCCATTCAGACATCTTCAGATAATTGTAAGCAGTGTTCATTCCCACTGAAGTGCCCAGAACGGTTAAGAATGTGTAATGGGACGAGGTACTGAGTGTTCGGGGTTCTGTCAGATCGCGTCTACGTGCATAGAAATAAATGTGGCCTTTAGAACATCTAGGATCAAACAGACCTGGGTTCGAATCCCAGATTCGTTCCGTTTATGATCCTTGGTGAAATCAAGGTCTGTTCAAGACTGGTTCCGTCTGTGGTTTGCCTCAATGCAATTCATGGGACATTGGTTTGTTGATTTCGGTTTATATGTTGTTTAATGTCGCACAGAGCAATATCATAGCGGGATCGAGCCCACCTGTGACCGGGTGTAAAAACCTTGGAGTCAACTTTGTGTGCAGACTCTTTCGGTGTTGTCACAATCCCTAGTGTACAGTACACAACCCTGTTCACTTAAAAGAATCCACGAATCCGTTGGTAGATGACCAGATGGTGACCACATGAATACGTGCAAACACCTTGTACAGCTAACTAAACTAAACTCACTCACTCACTCACCCGTAGTGTCATTAATGATACAAATCAAACCTAAGTTTGTGTCTATCTCTGTAGGTAAAGGTTCCCTCTGAACCGCTGGTATGTAAAGTGAGTGAGTGAGTTAGTTTAGTTTTACGCCGCACTCAGCAATATTCCAGCTATATGGCGGCGGTCTGTAAATAATCGAGTCTGGACCAGACAATCCAGTGAACATTAGCATCGATCTGCGCAATGGAGAACCGATGACATGTGTCAACCAAGTCAGCGAGTCTGACCACCCGATCCCGTTAGTCGCCTCTTACGACAAGCATGGGTTACTGAAGATCAATATTCTAAACCGGACCTTCACGGGTGTGTGAGCGAGTGAGTGAGCTAGACGTTAAATGTTAGTAATTACATTAATGATGTGTAAACTGATATTGACACGAGTCATCTTGAACTCTATGCTGATATTCAGTAAGATAATGAAGTGGCTGGTACTGCCAAATTAACAAAGCAAACTCGGCCTTAATCAACTAGATTTCCAGTATAACCTTACTTATCAGTCATGCCACGAAACGCCGGTGAGTGTAGTACTTTGAAATTATATAAAATATAAACCCAACAGGCATGGTGGGTAACAATGAAACCCCGCTAATCCAGACCCTCCACATTCAGACCAACACCTCTGACGAACTGCACACACATAACTCCATGATCGCGTCTTGCTAATCCGGATAACCGTCAAAACGGGCGATTCCATTGTGAACGGCATGTCGTCCGGTTAACCAGGGTTCCACTATGTAGAACCCTACTTGTATGCCGTGACTGAGGTGAACCCAGTACAAATAAATATAATGTTCCTCAGCTTACTGCGCAAGTAAGATAAGTTGACGTAAAGACCACCTAGAGATTGGAAATGAAACATGCATTATGGCCTCCCCGATAGGTGTATATGGTTCTTATCTGTCATTAAAATTATCAACTTCAGCATCCATACACATATAATACACACAAGAACTAACACGCGTGAATATTTCAAACCGCCAACATTTCCGAAACGAATGTCTCCCAGCGTAAGAAGAATGAAATGAAACGCCACATATTCAATTAAGGATCTGTTCTAGGTTTTGCAACTGAAACCCAAGCTAAACAGATCACTCATGGAGCTGGGCAGACCCTGTGGCTATTTATTTTACATTACTGCACACGTTAACCCTTGCCTGTTTAACCCTGAGTACACACTTGTCTTTAAGAGAGTCTCACTGAGGCTCGTTTCAACTCCCCAACCTCCTAACACGATCGTCTTCAAACTAGACTAGCTTGTGTTTCCTTGTAATGGCATTATTATAACTGTCTCACGTGACTAAAACAACAATGCAGTCACGTGACAACAGAAATATAAAACAAAAGAAATAAGTAAAAAACTTGATTTTCAGGTGTGAACACAATCGGATCACACCCATGTGAGATGTACCTCGGGTGTTATCAGACTCAGCTGGGCTCCGTCTCTACATACAGCACGTTTAAGACAAGCGGATCGCACGGGAACCAGTTAACAGTCTAGACGTAGGACGATCGTTGGTGTGATTCACATGTAAGTTAAGCGGTGTTTCTCAGTGGGTCGGAATTCCATGGTTTTGAATGTCTGAAGTCCGTCAGTGACGGCGGGTCTACCTTAACATATGGCGTAACTCCACACTCCCTGTCTGTAACTCCTCCGCCATGTTTTGCCGCACAATCCCATCGCAGGAAATATGAGCACTACTGTTTTCGAGGTTGGAAAAAATATTAAAAAATGATTACAGTTGTACTTTAACGCTAAGGAGTCTGAGGCAGCCGGCTGGTGCTTAGTTTGACATATGTCTACATATCATGTTTATATACATTGTACATTGTTTAACGTGTGGTAATAATATGTGTGCTTCTTTGAGAAGCAATTTAGAAGGAAACATGAAGGTAAACCAAGTTCTATGGATAGTCAACTTCTTTATTCGGTGAAGATATGTCGTTGACTATCCATAGAACTTGGTTTTCCTTTAAGCCAGTATTTACCTGGAAGGTGTTTTAGACCAAAACACTGCTCCTTTAAATGAAGTGAGGTGAAATGGGGTTTAACCTCGTACTTAAGAATATTTCGCTCATATGACGACGTGCATGCGTTTGAATGTGTGGCTGCTTGTACTAGCCCAGGCTTGTTTTATAGTGCTAACTCACTGAGATACCATGCCACAGTTAAGCATGAATACCCCACTCAGACACATTATACTGACTCCGAGCTGAACAGTCCTTGTTGTACCCATTAATGCCGAGCACCAGGCAGGTACCAACAAGTACCTTATCGTAACATCCTTTGGTATGACCCGGCCGGGGATCGAACCCGCGACCTCCCCACTCTCCGGGCGGAAGCTCTTACCACTACACCACGGCAGTTACATCATGAGGCGGACATCTCGATGTGAAGCAGATGTTACATGGTGCAGACAAACCTAGAAACTCAAATCTGAATCTGGATTCGAACACCTAAGGGACGGCGATTTTGGGGGCCTAACATGCCCACCATGTAGACGAGGGAGCGGTAGGGGACAGGGTGAGGGGTGAGGGAGGGTAACATTGTTGGGCGTTTGGTTGTGCAGTGAGTCACAGTGATGTCTGAAAGTAACAACGTGGCTTGTGGATGTGTCGCAACACCAGCAGCTGATTACAACATGGACAAACTAAAATAGACGATAAAACGAACCAAACAACGCAGTTTCCATTAAAGTGGTACTGGCGGTGTGCATCTATAGCTAAAATATATTCACCTACAGCTCCTCCGTCGTCATCCGTCACCCGTACTCCGGGTCCCCTTCCCCAAAGAAACATTAGACAATCTCTCTCTCTCTCTCTCTCTCTCTCTCTCTCTCTCTCTCTCTCTCTCTCTCTCTCTCTCTCTCTCTCACACACACACACACACATACAAATGCAAACACACAAACTAATCCTTTCTCTCTTCTCTCTCTCTCACACCATATACATATACAACAATGTACAAACACTCACACACTGTCTCACACTCTCCCTCTCTATCTCTCTCACACACACACACTCTCTCTTCTCTCTCTCTCACACACATATACATATACAACAATGTACAAAGACGCACACACTGTCTCACACTCTCCCTCTCTATCTCTCTCACACACACATGCATATACAACAATGTACAAACACGCACACACTGTCTCACACTCTCCCTCTCTATCTCTCTCACACACACATTCTCTCTCACTCTCTTCTCTCTCTCACTACACACATATACGAATGCAAACACACACTCTCCCTCTCTCTCTCTCTCTCTCTCTCTCTCTCTCTCTCTCTCTCTCTCTCTCTCTCTCTCTCTCTCTCTCTCTCTCACACACACACACACACACACACACTTCCGCCTCCATGATACAGAATCGTACTAGAAGGAGTCCTACTGAAGTAAGACCTGATCTCTTCGTCGGTAGATGTGTGTTTGCCGAAACAACCGATTGACGTCACACTTTTTGCAACAAAAGACGTATTTACATAAAGCACCCACGCTGTCGTCAGACCTAGCGTGTTCCCATGCTATAGACTTCCATTCATAATGAAAACATGAAACGTAATTCTACAATCTGAGTCCGTGATGTAATCACATACCTACTGGCACCTGGAAGAAATGTACAGAGACGCACGTAATTTCTCCATTAATCAGGGCATATCAGGCCACATGTGGGATAACTCCCGTAGACGCCATTGTGGCCATGGTTATCACGTGACAGCTATTATAAGACATACATATATTAACAATTATTACCCATACAAATGAATGAAGCAGGTATATGATATTACCGGGATAAAAGTCCTTGAGTGGGAATTAAGTTCCTTGTGAACGAAGATTGGTTTTAAAAGATATGTTCCAGCTTTGTTAGAACCGCCCTTTCTTTTCATTCAGTGGGAAGTTTGAAAGGTAATTTCACCACTTCACACCTCTGTGTGGTTAAGGACAGAACAATATATTTAGTTCTGCATGTATCCCACGTTATTCTGCCAGGGCTTTTGTCCTTGTGGAGGTCGAGTTACAAGGGTCAGAACAGTGCGACTTTTTAACACAAAACAGGAAACATGATCTAGCCAGCTATCCCTCAGTTTGAGAATTTAATACATCAATTAATTGTTGAGGATCCTTGTCACTCCAGATTTTCCTTTTGTGATGGGAATCATTGTTTGAAGTTCTGTATGTGTGAACCGGTGTGACACTGTGAAGGAGTGTGAAATTGTCAACGAGTGTGACATTGTGAAGGAGTGTGACATTGTGAAGGAGTGTGACATTTTGAACGAATGTGACGCTGTGAACGAGTGTGACACTGTGAACGAGTGTGACACTGTGAACGAGTGTGACATTGTGAACGAGTGTGACACTATGAACGAGTGTGACGCTGTGAACGAGTGTGACACTATGAACGAGTGTGACGCTGTGAACGAGTGTCATATTGTCAACGAGTGTGACATTGTCAAGGAGTGTGACATTGTGAAGGAGTGTGACATTTTGAACGAATGTGACACTGTGAACGAGTGTGACGCTGTGAACGAGTGTGACATTGTGAACGAGTGTGACATTGTGAACGAGTGTGACATTGTCAACGAGTGTGACATTGTCAAGGAGTGTGACATTGTGAACAAGTGTGACGCTGTGAACGAGTGTGACGTTGTGAACGAGTGTGACACTGTGAACGAGTGTGACATTGTGAACGAGCGTGACACTGTGAACGAGTGTGACACTGTGAACGAGTGTGACATTGTGAACCAGTGTAACATTGTGAACGAGTGTGACATTGTGAACGAGTGTGACACTGTGAACGAGTGTGACACTGTGAACGAGTGTGACACTGTGAACGAGCATGACATTGTGAACGAGTGTGACACTGTGAAAGAGTGTGACATTGTGAAGGAGAGTGACATTGTGAACGAGTGTGACACTGTGAACGAGTGTGACATTGTGAACGAGTGTGACATTGTGAACGAGTGTGACACTGTGAACGAGTGTGACATTGTCAACGAGCGTGACACTGTGAACGAGCGTGACATTGTCAACGAGTGTGACATTGTGAACGAGTGTGACACTGTGAACTAGTGTGACACTGAACGAGCGTGACATTGTGAACTAGTGTAACATTGTGAACGAGTGTGACACTGTGAACGAGTGTGACATTGTGAACGAGTGTGACATTGTGAAGGAGTATGACATTGTCAACGAGTGTGACACTGTGAACTAGTGTAACACTGTGAACGAGCGTGACATTGTGAACGAGTGTGACATTGTGAACGAGTGTGACACTGTGAACGAGTGTGACATTGTGAACGAGTATGACATTGTGAACGAGCGTGACATTGTGAACGAGTGTGACATTGTGAACGAGTGTAACACTGTGAACGAGTGTGACATTGTGAACCAGTGTAACACTGTGAACGAGTGTAACACTGTGAAGGAGTGTGACATTGTCAACGAGTGTGACATTGTCAACGAGCGTGACATTGTGAACGAGTGTGACATTGTGAACGAGTGTAACACTGTGAACGAGTGTGACATTGTGAACGAGTATAACACTGTGAACGAGTGTGACATTGTGAACGAGTGTGACATTGTGAATGAATGTGACATTGTGAACGAGTGTAACACTGTGAACGAGTATGACATTGTGAACGAGCGTAACACTGTGAACGAGTGTGACACTGTGAACGAGTGTAACACTGTGAACGAGTGTGACATTGTGAACGAGTGTGACATTGTGAAGGAGTGTGACATTGTGAACGAGCGTGACATTGTGAACCAGTGTAACATTGTGAACGAGTGTGACATTGTGAACGAGTGTGACACTGTGAACGAGTGTGACAGTGTGAACGAGTATGACATTGTGAACGAGCGTGACATTGTGAACGAGTGTGACATTGTGAACGAGGGTAACACTGTGAACGAGTGTGACATTGTGAACGAGTGTAACACTGTGAACGAGTGTGACATTGTGAATGAATGTGACACTGTGAACGAGTGTAACACTGTGAAGGAGTGTGACATTGTGAACGAGCGTGACATTGTGAACTAATGTGACATTGTGAACGAGTGTAACACTGTGAACGAGTATGACATTGTGAACGAGTGTAACACTGTGAACGAGTGTGACACTGTGAACGAGTGTGACATTGTGAACGAGTGTGACATTGTGAACGAGTGTGACATTGTGAACGAGTGTGACATTGTGAACGAGTGTGACATTGTGAACGAGCATGACATTGCTAACGAGTGTGACACTGTGAACGAGCGTGACATTGTGAACGAGTGTAACACTGTGAACATGTGTAACACTGTGAACAAGTGTGACGCTGTGAACGAGTGTGACACTGTGAACGAGTGTGACATTGTGAACGAGTGTGACACTGTGAACGAGTGTGATATTGTTTAACATTAGCGAGGTACATTTTAAAGTCATGTTTGCGATATTTCATCTTTACTTTGTTTGTTGCTATAAACGGTGCAACATTCCAGCTTCATGTAGGGGTCGGCTATAATAATCGGGTGTGGACCAGATAATCCAGTGACTGTTGTCGTCGATGTTAGCAGCTGTAATATCACATAGTAGAAGTGGTAGACAGTATGGTGTGCGTTCACTGAACCAAACAGAGAGGAATTCAATCACCATGGCAACGAGAATGGCTACACTTATATGGTTGTTCTCTCCAATCGTTTGTTCCCCAAACTGGATTTTTCTTTCCTCATCATAGAATCTCCATTGTCCATTATCCCCCGAAACAGATTCCACTGGAAGGGGATAATGCTGAGTTGTGCGTTATGGACCTCATGATATCATCCACCGGGTTGTCTCTCTTTCCCAGCTTAGTTACAGGCCGCCGTCACGTCGCCTGGATATTGCTGGAGACCTTCATCACGTTCGGGTAACACACATACCCGCGAAGGTCCGGGTTAGAATATTGATCTTCAGTAGCCCATGCTTGTCGTAAGAGGCAACTAACGGGATCGGGTGGTCAGGCTCGCTGACTTGGTTGACACATGTCATCCTATCCCAATTGCGTAGATCGATGCTCATGCTGTTGATGGAGTGTGTGGTCCAGATTCGATTATTTACAGACTGCCGCCATATAGCTGGAATATTGCTGAGTGCGGCGTAAAACTAAACTCACTCACTCAGGTAGCACTCGGAATATTTGTCTCTGTCACAGTATGTGAATCACCGGATGCAGATCTAATACTCTGAAGCATGGACCGATGTTGGATGAGGTGACACAGAAACCTAACAACACCCTCTGAACTTTGACCCAGACACTATACTAATCTCCAACAAATTGCTTCCAGCTTTATCATGGGATAATCTGACATGAAACTTGAGTATTCCGGGTAGCCGCTTAACACAGTAGGCGGACTGACCCACCCGTTCCACACACGCTGTAGTCCACCCAGTCCACTCTCCACACTGACTCTACGGGGAGTACCGGAGGGCGACCCCACCCGTTCCACACACGCTGTAGTCCACCCAGTCCACTCTCCACACTGACTCTACGGGGAGTACCGGAGGGCGACCCCACCCGTTCCACACACGCTGTAGTCCACCCAGTCCACTCTCCACACAGGCTCTGCGGGGAGTGCCGGAGGGTCGACCCCACCCGTTCCACACACACTGCACGAGGGAGGGTTTGGTCACCCCAAGCTCAGAACGTAACACGTACATTCATGGTCGTTATTTAACACCATCCAATCAGACAGACCTTATGACCCACGTTCCATCTCCTCATAATAAAGCCATTTTGATTGTTTTATTCTTTTTACTATATATGTGGCACGTGACGTCGGTTCGGGCAGTTGTTTGAAAATGTTCAACTGTCAAACATTTGAGAAAAGATAAGGTGAGATGTTTGTGTGGAACATGGTTATATCGGTAAGTTTCTGGCTACATCTGCCAGCATCGATATCGTTGTTCCATGTACTTCTACTGTCGAGGCAGATCAAGGCTGGAGGTCATTACGTTGTACCACTAATGCCAGTTAATGTCGCACGTTTACATCAACAACCGTGAATACCTTTGGGTGGGGTGGGGACGTATTTGAAAAATACATAAAATTATATATGTCGTGCGTAATTTACGGAATTGCCCAATCCGCGAATTACGCAAGATATTGCGTAATCCCCGAGAATGGACGACGCTATGCGACAAACCCTGTCATTACGCAATTAGTAGAGTTCAATCCCTTGGATTGAGCAATTACTTGAAGGTCACATGCAATCAAAAAATCAAACATAATTAAACCACAATTATCACTTATTCATGACATATAATATGCATTGCTGATTATGAAAAAACAAATAAACAAAATTATAAGCGTACAATCGCAAATCAAAAGTGCAATATTTTGTACTTGGGTTTACCTCCCTCGAAACGAAGCAGCCGGGATACCGAACCCAGTCAGCTTTCACGGTGTGTGTATATATAGAGATGTTGGGTTTTGTAAATACATGCTCATTTTTTGTGTATAACATTTTGCAATCAACAGACATCGTAACATGTCATGTGTTCAAGTATCACACCTGCCTGTCTGTGTAATTACATAATGTGACAGAGACCGAACTCGGGCCATAAATCAATGCGTTTTGTTTATGGTGTATAGCCTGATTGGTGTTAAGTTCAAATTGCATGTGGTCAGTGATCGCAGTTGTGTATTGAATATTGTCATTAGCAGAAAGGCAGGCAGACACACAGGTGTCAATAAAACAAGACATTGAGTTTGGTCTGTGACAGCGACATATCTATATCACAGTTAGAAATTGTGTCAACGCTAAATAATGACATTGCTTTTAAGTATCGAACTGAGAAAGTGACTCGGTAAGAAGAACGTGTGGTGAAATAGACAAATGAAATTATATAAACAGTTTATTTACTGTCATAACGTATAAAAAAGCTCGCGCCTGTGAGATATCAACAAAACATTATGAAAATATCTCACACCAAAGCCTTCACCGAGTATTCACCAGACAGACTGCTTCCAAGTTGCGCGAACCTATTTCACTGCGCACGTGCTATGAGCGCAGTCCAGCTGTTGAAACCCGTATTCCCCAGAAAAGTCTGGGGAAAATTAGTGAAACGTTTGAACTCCGATTTCGCGCGTTTTTTTTCATCGCGTTATTTTTCAACTTTATAAGTTGAATTTGCATTTTTTGACGCTTTGTTTCGGTAAGTCCATACCGAAAGGTATCAGAATCTGCAAAGTTGTGTTTTACGTTGCATGTGACCTTTAACTAATCTGCGTAATCCCATAGACTTAACAAGCTGAGTTTGTGTATTTAGAAACCTAGCTTGTGTTTTAGACAATGATTAGTGTTTCATAGTTTGTAAAAAATAAAATAACAAAAGGGCAAAAAAGAGGATTGAATTGGAGAGAATCTGGAAAGACCGCTTGGATAGAAGATACTTATTATTTTGTTTTATACATGTATATGTTAAATCTAGTTCACACATTGCTTCATACACAGCTGACTGTCTGTGTTTAGTTTATTCCTACATTCTGAATACATTCCCGAGTCCGACGTGGTATAACCATTAACGATGTCGTGCTACATGAACCAACAACGTCTTATCATTCATCATAGCGTGTTGACGGCATATCCCCCGTCAGAGTGTCAGATAACGCATATACAATACCCACCGGTCGTGACGCTCGTGCTGGAGCCTCGTCTTGACCTACAGCCAATGGAATGCCGTATTTCACATGTGACATAACAGCTATAAATAGAAATTCTTGCGGCATTCACGTGACAAGGCAAACGTGCTCAGAGTCAGACTCGACAATGTCGAGACAACATGGTGAAATAGTTTAGATCGAGACGATTTAGGGATATGTTTTTAGCATGTGGTAACTCCAGTGGGCATTATAACACACCGCTCTTTAAAATGACCTTTTATGCAATTCTGGAAGTTGGTGAAACGTAGCAACCACTGGAACAATATTTATTGGACATAATCTAGCATATATGTGCGATTTATACCAACCTTTTCCCATAAAGTGAGGTATCATATGCTGTACTTAGTTTGAAATTATTGAATTCGTTATTTCCACAAATGTATTTAGAAACTATTTCTTTATAAGTGTATGTTTATGAGAAGCATTTATATAGGCTGATGCAGCCTGTTTGCTGATACTTTTTCCCTTTGTAATTTATTAACGTTTAATGAATATTGCATGTCCTTCGGGAAATAAAATACTGTTTAAATCAAAACATATGGCCGGGTGTGGAATCATTTGTGTTTGGGATAGAACTGGTCTCTAGCGTTCTGGCTTGTCACCATGGTGATGAAGTGATACGTGTGCTTACGGGTGGAACGTGGAGTTCAAGATGATATAGCGACGTGCATGCTTGCATGTGCAGGTGCTTGTGCGTGCACACTAGACTAAAACCGATTTTATAGCCTACTGAAATATTCTACCTCAGTTAACATGAATAGTCCAAGTAGAGTACAGTCTCCGGTCCGACGAGTATCCCCTCAAGCAGAGTGCAGTCTCCGACCCGACGGGTATCCCCTCAATCAGAGTACAGTCTCCGGCCCGACGGGTATCCCCTCACTCAGAGTACAGTCTCCGACCCGACGGGTATCCCCTCACTCAGAGTACAGTCTCCGGCCCGACGAGTATCCCCTCACTCAGAGTACATTCTCCGGCCCGACGAGTATCCCCTCAATCAGAGTACAGTCTCCTGCCCAACGAGTATCCCCTCACTCAGAGTACAGTCTCCTGCCCAACGAGTATCCCCTCACTCAGAGAACAGTCTCCGACCCGACGGGTATCCCCTCAATCAGAGTACAGTCTCCTGCCCAACGAGTATCCCCTCACTCAGAGTACAGTCTCCGGCCCGACGGGTATCCCCTCAATCAGAGTACAGTCTCCGGCCCGACGAGTATCCCCTCACTCAGAGTACATTCTCCGGCCAGACGAGTATCCCCTCACTCAGAGTACAGTCTCCTGCCCAACGAGTATCCCCTCACTCAGAGTACAGTCTCCTGCCCAACGAGTATCCCCTCAATCAGAGTACAGTCTCCAACCCGACGAGTATCCCCTCAATCAGAGTACAGTCTCCGACCCGACGGGTATCCCCTCACTCAGAGTACAGTCTCCAACCCGACGAGTATCCCCTCAATCAGAGTACAGTCTCCAACCCGACGAGTATCCCTCACTCAGAGTACAGTCTCCGACCCGACGAGTATCCCTCAATCAGAGTACAGTCTCCAACCCGACGAGTATCCCCTCACTCAGAGTACAGTCTCCGACCCGACGAGTATCCCCTCAATCAGAGTACAGTCTCCAACCCGACGAGTATCCCCTCACTCAGAGTACAGTCTCCAACCCGACGAGTATCCCCTCAATCAGAGTACAGTCTCCAACCCGACGAGTATCCCCTCAC